AAACAGATGATTTACTTTTTCCATCAAATTTTCTGATAATTTAAAAGTTTTTTTGCAAAATTAATACAATATAGTATTCATTTTGTTTAGATACTGTGTTTCAGTTTGTCATTAGTTAATTTGAAAGCAAACCAAAAACAAAAAATAAGATAATTTGCGAAGGCAGAACAATTTGATGACAAAACTGATTTGAAAGAAAGTTTAAAAAAAGACAAAGCGATGTTAAAAGCATTTAAGATGGAGTTTACAAAAAATTAGAAAGAAAGAAATAAAGCTGAAAAATTGGAAACAAGGATGTTAAAAACGAGTAAAAAGAAAGCACAACATAAGAAAGAATGTTTCAGTAGTTTTTGTCTACTTTTTTTTACAAATCTCGTTAAAACTCGCTGAAAAATTGCCAAATTACTTCGAAATTGACATTATTTTAGTTTGTTTTGCTTGATTTGTTTTTTTTTTTTTTGAAGCAGAGACTCATTTATTTGCAAAATTTTCTTAAAACGAACTTAAAAATCACAAAAATATATCAAAATTGATTATATTTCGTTTGTTTCACTTGATTTATCTCATTTTTGAGCAAGATTTATTCAAAAATAAGCCGAAAAACACCAAATTTGGCCAAAAATATTGTTATTTTTACCTTTTCCAAATCTGAAGCACTTGAAGCAAGGTTTAGTCAAAAATAAGCCGAAAAACACAAATTTTCCAAACTTGAAGCGCATTTTTTTTAACGAAAATCTGAAGTTTTTCTGGAAATTATATCATGTTTGCCTTTTTCAAGCTTCTTGCTCATTTTTCAGTTGAAAAAATCAATTATTTCGACAAATTCTCTCAAAAATAAGTCAAACAAGCACCAAGTTAATTAAYAAATAGTTTTAATTGTATTGAAATTAATGTTATTTCGTTTGTTTTACTTGATTTAACTGTTTTTTGACAAAAAAATTGTGTAATTTTAACCTTTTTCAAACTTTGACGTTTTGAACTAATGAAATTTCTGGGAAAATTAGATAATTTTTGCTTTTGCACGTTATTCAGTCAGAAAAACCATAATTTCGACAATTTTCGAGAAATTCGAGTCGAGAAATTTCAAAATTAATTAAAAAAAAATTGTCCTATTTGTTTTTTTTGCGAGATTTTACTAAAGAATCAAAAATTGTCAAATAGGTTCAAAATTTAGCGTGTTTTTAGCCAAAAATTTACAAAAGAAACCAAAAATGTAGCTTTTTTGAGTGTGTAAACGTGAAAAATCACCAAAATTTTCTTTTTCTACACACTTTGAAGCAAATCCAGAAACCTATTGGCAACACTGAATTATTGGTTAAGCCAGCGATTGTCCGTCGCAACGAAATGACAATTTCTTTATAGAAATTTGACGTTTGAATTTGACACTCAATGTTGCCAACTTAATTTCAAAGTCGCAGACGACTTGTCCAAAAATTTACTTTTTTTTACTCCAGAGGTAAAGATGCGATTTTGAACCGGTTGCAAGACGGAAGTGAGGACTCCTCAATTGTTTCAATTTCAATTGTTTCACACATTTTTCCAAAAACTAGTCGAAAAATTACTAAAATGATTTTATTTGCTTTCTTTTTTCAAAAAATATGTCACAAATTATAGTTTTGCCTTTTTTCGAATGTTTCAGTAGTTTTTGTCTACTTTTTTTACAAATCTCGTTAAAACTCGCTGAAAAATTACCAAATTACTTCGAAATTGACATTATTTTAGTTTGTTTTGCTTGATTTGTTTTTTTTTGCATTTATTTGCAAAATTTTCTTAAAACGTCCTTAAAAATCACAAAAATATATCAAAATTGATGATATTTCGTTTGTTTCACTTGATTTCTCTCATTTTTGAGCAAGATTTAGTCAAAAA